TCCCCTTCTTCTGCCCGCCGGGGGTCTGCCGGCTCTGGGAAGATTCGGTGGTCTGAATGTTTTGTGTTTCTTGCTGATTAAGCAGCCGTTGAGTTTCGTCTACCTTGGACGAAAGGAGATTATTACGTTCTTGGAGTTTAGTCATCTCCCTTCGAAGGGAGGTCATCTGAGCCAGAAGCTCCGCTTCGACCGTGGTCTGAAGCGCCGGAGAATTACCGAAGGGGGTGCATAAAACCTAAAAAACCTATTTATTATTCCACTAAACCATCATGACATTATTATTTCAGACAACACAGGTTTTTTGTCGACTCATGATTTTCCAAGAAAACTTCACCAAATTGACGACTTCCGATACTTCGTGATAGATGACAGTTGTTGACGCAGAAAAATGGTTCGGTACTTTCCCGCGCAACTTAGTGATTTAGTCTCTTCGGTATCTGATGTCCTCGGTAGGGTGTGCGATCTGTAAGATAGCAAACGCACGGTAAGTCCTAGGGCACCGGTGTGGTACCGGCCGAAGGCTCTCCGATGCTTCAGTAAGTACGGATTTAGTAAGTTGGAACTACAGATCAATAGGCAGTATGCCATAAGTTCTGATTCATTACCTCCAAGCTGGGAGGGTTGTCCTCCTTTATAGGCCTTGGGAGGCGTGCAACTTGTTTAGAATTTCGATGTGGGACTCTGGACATCAATTGTGGGACTGCCACGCGTCCAAGGGGGCGAGGTTGCCCTAATGTTTTGATCGGTAGTCTTGTACAGAAGGTGGGTGCCGAAGGCACTCCATGGCCCTGGTTTAGCCCACGTGTTCGACATTCATTGGCTGTTCATTTTGGTATAAACAACAGTCGATAAGATACTTTGTGTTGTGATAGATGACAGTCAATAAGAAAACGATCGTAACCCTAACCCACATAAGACAAAGTGCTATGGGACAACTTGCTATACTATTTAAAAGCCAAATCTGTTGGCCTTATCGACCCTTTTCTCTAATAAGCCGGTAAAATTATAAGAGAGTGCATATTCATAAGATGAAATGGTTGTAATATACAAGCCCTTTTTTTTGTCTAATTCTCTAGATATATGTAGCTGGACATAGCTGTTTCAGCTTAACATCTTTGCTTCAAGGATGATGGCTAATCAATACATTCTCCTCAAGAGAAAATATCAAAGAAAAGGAGACTGAAAAATGGTTTTAGTAATATATATATTTTTACACAAACGATATCAAAAAAGAAAAAAGCGAACTTAGAATCTCGGGTGGAGTGATAAATACTATAAATATAATCTTTTTTTATTATAAAGAAGATAGAAAAAACAAAAACAAAAAGGTCCTGGAATAGGGTTCAGTTAGAGATGGCATACATTGGGCACCGTCCTCTAGGAACCATAGGATGGACTAAACAACAAACCTGCCTTGAAGTGGCACCGTCCATCCAAAAACAACCAAAGTGAATAAAAACCCATAGTCCTAATCTCCTGGATTACAGATGTACAAGATATTTGTGATCACTTAAAAACCTATTTTAGATGTGAGATCTATATATATATAAGGCAAAAGGCAGACAATGATGAAACATTCAAAATATTAGAAAATATCATTAGTTAATACAAACATTAATAATTGAAATTATTAATTAAATGAGAATAAAATGATAAATTCACACTTTTTCATATTAAAAAAAATTAAAATTAAAAGAAAAATAAGATAAAGGATTCTATTTTATGGAACACAACTACCCATTATCTTTTTTAATTTTAAAATAAATTTAAAATAAATAAAAAAATCTTATCGCACGTGCTTTCGCGAGGCTAGTAAATGTGAATATCCTAAGTTCAATTATTTGGCATTGAAAGCATGTGTTATATAATCTTATGAAATATATTGATTGGTCATTTTACACATCACAATCTGTCAAATATATTGTATGATGGAGCATGCAAATACAAATTTTGTATTGGTGGTCGCTAAAAACTATTCTTTTGCTTAAAAGCTGATGTTGTCTTTGACTTCCTTTAAGACTTTAGGTCACAATTTTGTGGAAGGACATTTGATTTGATATAGGACTCGCTAATATTCAGCGGATTCCGTGGAGCATTTTGTTGCAAGCAAGTGAATAAATCAAAACCTCATATTTAGCCTTCTTTGTCTTATTGTCAAGTTGCAATTTAGTCCTTTTATTTTGGTTCGACATCGTACTGGTTATTGAAGAATAAATCTACGTTGTACATGTCTCCTCCCAAAGAGAGGGAAAGGGAGGAGAGGAGGAGAGGAGGAGGAGCCTCCTCCCCTATAAAGAGAAAAAGAAGTGGAAAAAGGTGTACAAGAATTACTCATCCAAAGTATTTTACGCAAGAATTATGAGGTTATTAGTCAACATGCAAACAACCAAAATGCAACCAATCGAAAAAAAAACTTAAAGCATTTATATGCCCGCAGTGCATATCATAGTACTGCTTTCAACTTCACACTATTTTATAAGAAAAAGCAAATAACAATAATATTGATGCCAAGGACTCTCTCGATCGCAAGGACAGACACGCCAGGGTCAGGGTTTCAACTGCGCGTCGTCATCTTCTCTCCAACCCTCGTATGCCTAAGAAACCTCAAAGGGTGATAGTGTAAATAATTATTCAAAATTTTCACTGTTTTTATCATCTCGATATTATTGATATTATAGTTATATTATACAGATATTTTAACCAAATGTTGTTAAAGTGTGAGAGAAATTATCAACATCGATATTTTCTAATATTATCGATATTTATATGATATGTGTATGGATATATTCCAAATTGTCAGCTTTATGCAATTGTAAGAGCACTTCCACCCATTTGTCATGACAAAGGGTAAGGAGAGGCAATGACTATTACTATTCACATAAATAGTGACAGCTCTTACAAAAGGCAAAGTGTGTTTCCACTTATTACCATGGCAGATGGTAATTACTATTCATTTTAAATTATTTTTATTTTTGATACATAAAAGATTTTTATTTTATTTTATAGAATTTAGAGTTTTGGTGTGGGAAGTAAAAAATATGATTTTTTTCATTTTTTATTGGTCTGATTTATGTGAATAGTAATAGCCATCCCCTTGCCCTTTGCCATGACAAATAGGTGAAAGTGCTCTTAAGTAAAAAATATGGTTAGGTATTTATAAATAAAAAATTCTAATTTTTTTTGTCAATTTTTTTTTTATTTTAATTGGCCCCACGCCTTACCCAAGCTTGCCCCTGCATGCTAGAACCGTCATGTAGGCCTAGGGCCTTTCCTGCTCGGGCTTCCCCTTGCAGCTGGAAGTGCTCAAAGATGTAGACAAGAGCCTCTTCGCCAAATAAAAAAGGGAGTTTCACTAATACACCCAAAATATGGGCTGAAATTATAAAAAAAACCTAACATGAAAAACACTTTATAAACACACCCAAAACCCATTTATTAAACACTCAAAACTCATTTATAAACATACCCAAAAAATATACAATTGTTGATTTTTGGGTTGATTTTGAGTGTGTTTCTATGTTTTAAATAGTGTTGGGTTTTTTTATGAATTCATGTATAGGATTGGATTTATTTATAAATTTGTAAATAAAAAAATTAAGATTTCGTACATTTCAGTATTTACTGCAACGGAGATACCATTTAGTTACACTTCAATTTTCTGTTTGTCTGTTTTTTTTCCTATAAAAACCCAAGCGCTTCTCGTCCCTCTCTCAAAGCCCCATTTGCCATTTTCTGAAGAAACAACTTGCTCTTCTTTCGATAATCTTCTCTCTCTTTTCTTTTTCAGTCCAGTTTTTGGTTCTCCAAGTGCTTTTCCTCATCTGGCTGGGTTCCTCTTCTTTTCTTTCTTTCCTTTCAAGATTTGGTGTGAAAGAGATCGGAAAACAATGCATATTCTCAAGGTCTTCTTTGGAGTTGTTGGTGAGTTTTCTCAACTGGGTTGCTTTCATATCAATTCTTTTTGAGGTATGTGTGTCTAGTTGCTCTGTTTATGGTTTCCTCTTCTTTTCTACAGGAAATGCCACTGCTCTGTTCCTCTTCTTGGCTCCCATGTATCTCTCTCTCTCAAATGGAGTTGCTTTTTGGGTCTAAAGATCATTGCTTTAGATGGGTTTTCTGTACAATCTGCATAGTTCAAAAAGCTTGAATCTTTACTGTGTTTCTTGAATTTTCACTGGAATTTATGGAGTGATTTTGGTTTTATAATAGCATCACATTCAAGAGGATCATACAGAAGAGAAGCACAGAGCAGTTCTCAGGCATTCCGTATGTCATGACTTTGCTCAACTGCCTCCTCTCCGCTTGGTATGATGCTTCTCGCTCCTTCAACCGCTTTCTATAAATTTTTCTCTCTTTCAATTTCTTTCTTCACCTTTTTACCCCTCACTTTGCGGCTTAATCACAATGGTTTTCTGTCTCTTCGTTACTAACATGGGATTAAATGACACTTTTGCCCCTGTTTCTGCTCTGTTTTTTTCGTTGGTCCTATTGTTTTTGGTTTGATCTTTCTTTCATTTGCCTTCATCTTCTTGGAATCGATCAAATGTTGGTTCTTGGAATTAATTTTGTTCAATAAAACTAACTAATGCTTGATCTGCATGATATTAATTAAAAAAAATCGGTATGGCCTGCCCTTTGTTTCCCCAAACAACATCTTGGTCTCAACCATCAATGGTACTGGTGCAGCCATTGAAGCAATATATGTGTTGATCTTCATCATATTTGCCCCCAAGAGAGAGAAGTTCAAGATTCTTTGCCTCTTCACCTTTGTGCTTGCTATCTTCTCCACTGTGGCTTTGGAAAAGCTGGTACCTAGCACCGGCAACTCTTTCGAGTGTTTGGCGTTGATACTGGCACATGTTGTCAATGGAAGAGTGGGCAATGTAGAGGCCCAAGAAGTTGTTCATGAGCCGCTGGTCGGCTACCAGCTTCAGGTTGAGCTTCTCGGCGTCTTGGACGGACTGGATCAAAGGGTTCGGTTGGGCTGTACTGGACCTTCTGATTCTGGCTCTGGAATTTGAGGGTGGGGACAGAGCGAAGCCCCGCCCATAAGGCTTGCTTGAGGCCCCGATCAGAGACGTCGAGATTGAAGGAGGAAATAGAGGGCTGGAGCCTGGAACAGAGGGATTTGAGAGGGAGACTTTTTCGGCCTTCCGAACAGATTTCTTCCAAGGACGAGTTCAGAATCGAGTCCATGGCCATGGCATTAGCCAAGTTAAATTAGACTGAAACGTAAAGAGAAGAAAGTAGTATCGGTATCGTATTATCTGAAGCGGGAAGAAGATGAAATCAGTATGAAACGCACGTGCGGAGATTTGCATAATAATAGGGAGTTTCACTAAAACACCCAAAATGGGGGTTGAAATTATAAAAAAACCCAAGCACTATTTAAACATATAAACACACCCAAAACCCATCATTACACACACTCAAAACCCATTTATAAACACACCCAAAAAGTTGACTTTGGGGTTAATTTTGGGTGTGTTTCTATGTTTAAATAGTGCTTGGGTTTTTTTATAAATACATGTCTAGGATTGGGTTTATTTATAAATTTGTATAATACTTATTCTTTTCGCAACCCCAGTTCGATTCCCAGTCTGATCACCGAAAAGATTACAGAAGTATAATATCTTAAAAATCTTCTTGAAGTGGGTTAGGGCCGTGAGCCCGTTCTCTTCTACCAAAATTTGCATTCTATTTCTAATTGTATTAGCCTCTTGGTGCACGCTCTATCAATTGGTTTTTTAAAAAAAATTCTATTTTATTTTAAAATTAAAAAGGATAATGGGTAGTTGTGTTTTATAAAAATATTTGTCTCTTCGTATGGGCTTCCGAGCTTGCAAGATGCCTGCCTTTTTTAAAAAAATTTAAATTTATTTCAGAATTAAAAAAGATAATGGGTAGTTGTGTTCCATAAAAATAGGATCCATTATCTAATTTTCCTTTTTTTTTAATTTTTTATAAATATGAAAAGTGTGAATTTACCATATTATCCTCATTTAATTACTAATTTCAATTCTTAATGTTTGCATTAATCAAGGGCATTTTTTTGTATTTTGAATGTTTCACTATTAAAAAAAAATTCACACTTCACCATATTTAAAAAAATAATAAAAATAAAAGAAAATTTAATTATGGATCCTATTTTTATGGAACACAGCTGCCCATTATCCTTTTTAATTCTAAAATAAATTTTAATTTTGCCTCTCGCAGGTGCAGAAGCGATTGTGAAGAGGCTAGTAGATAAATAAATAGATAAGTTAGATTAATTTAATTTTAAAAATTTTAGATTATTGTTTGTATGAAAAGAAATTTATCAACAGAGTCTAACCCAATAAAAAATGACATTGACTTGCAAAGAGACTAGTCTTGCTAAAGACTCGAGCCAAGGAGCCAGGGCTTATTTGTATGAGCCTTTTCTTTCTTTTTAATGAAAGAATTGGGCCAAGTTATAAGTTTTGTTAAGATCTCACGAAATGTATAAGTAGGCCTTACTATTGGTTTCTAAGGCCCAATGCTTCCATTACTGAAAACCGAGAAGCCACAACATCCTCTTCCATTACCAGAAAAGGCCCAACCTATAAGAGATTGTGAAATAGCCCGCCAAAAAAGCTTGCTGCGAACGCTAGAGAATGAGAAGCCAAGCCACTCCTCCCTCCACATTCCAAACTCCCGCTACAAAATCCCCCCTTCCTTCCCCTTCTCTTTACAGTTTCAAACGCATTTCTCCAAATTCAAATGGCAAGCAAGCTTAAAGTAGAAGAGCTCCGAAATCAATTGGCCCAACGTGGTCTCACCACCACCGGAAACAAACCCACTCTGGTCAGTCTGACAACAACCGCTATCTTCCTCTCTCTCTTCTCTAGGTAGAAGAGACTTTGACCAACTATTGATTTTGAGTTCCTGCAGGTTCAGAGGCTTGAGGCCACTCTTCGCCAAGAAAACAAGCAACTCACCGACGCAAGTGATGTTTCAGCTTCAATTGTTAGTAGAAAGAGGGGAAGACAATCAAATGAAGATGGAGAGTCAACTGGGTCCGAGAAAATCAAGGCCACCGACGAGTTCCAGGACATGAGTGTAAAGCAATTGCGCGAACAAGCCACTCTTCGTGGAATTTCAGCAACTGGGTCTAAAAAAGAACTGCTGGAGAGGCTTTCTGAAGATTCAGATGATATTCCTTTAGGTGGAGGTATGAGCTTTCAAACTCTGATTGGTTGCCAATACAATATTGTAGGCCAGGGCTAGAAATCGATGTCTTAGTCTTTATCTGCATTGAAAAATGTTCTTTTTTCAATTAGAACTGGGTAACTTATTTTTTATGCTGTGGTCTGGTGATAGCTAATGAAGATGGAAATGGCAGCAAGGAGAAGATCGTAACTGCTACCAAAAAGGGTGCAGCGGTATTGGATCAGTGGCTACCAGATCACATAAAGGCACATTATCATGTTTTGCAACTGGCAAGTCTATATACTATCAATAGGGCCACTTAATGAGTTAATTGCATTTCGTGCTTAGTGGAAGGTAATTGATGTCAGTTTGATTCGTTTCAAATTCGGACTGACCAATGATCTTTTTGAATGTAGGGTGATGATGTATATGATGCCATGTTGAACCAGACAAATGTTGGTTACAACAATAACAAGTTCTATGTGATTCAAGTTCTTGGTAAAACTCTTTCTCCCTTCAACAAATTTCGCTGAATATATATTTCTAAATTAATTAGTTAGTCAACTAGATGTTTGGATTATCGTAACTAAGAATTCATCTCAATACAGATTCAGTTGGGGTTAATCAAGCACGTATGTGGTTCAAGCAATGAAACTTATGAAGTTATACAAAATTTGACTGAATCTGATTTCAGTTTGTAACAAATACTGATTACAAGGATTAATTCTAACGGATTACAGAAACATTATTTATGCTTTTGTCACCTCACATAAATGAAGTTTGATCTGCTCCAATGAGTTATGGGATTAACGACATTGGCGAGTTACACCAGTTCAGGCAATGTATACTTATTTTTATTTCTTATGAATTGACGTGCAGAATCTGATGCTGGTGGTACTTTCATGGTTTACTATAGATGGGGGAGAGTAGGTGTTAAGGGTCAAAACAAGATACAAGGCCCTTACACATCCCGTGACAGCGCAATCAATGAGTTTAAACAGAAATTCTATGACAAAACCAAGAATGATTGGTCCAATCGTAAAATGTTCGAGTCTTTCCCGCACCACTATATGTGGATAGAAATGGATTACAACGAAGAGGAAAAACAATTGTCTGTGAGTGTCCAGAACTTTTTGCTTATCTTTGCATAATTTTCTGAATGCTGGAGATACAATGCCCTGAAGCTATTCTTGGTTGCAAATTACTGAGGACCTGTCTCTTCACAGAAAAAATACAATAAAGAAATAGGAGATCCTGTTGGTAGCAAGACAATATTGAATTGTTTTTCCCATTTATGTTATATATTTCTCATTTTCAAAAGGTGTTTCATATTTCAATCTTGCCTTTCATAGCCTCGATGTGTAGGGGTCAACGGATGAGTGTCAGATGACCTCTGTGTGTTGTGGGAGAAGCGGAGGGGTGGAGAAGAAAATCATCTTGTTTGCTCCTTCTTGATTCTTGATTATCATCGTCAGGTACAAGAAAAGAATGACTCTGCATTAAGAGGTCAACCTCTGGAAACACAACTTGAGCCTCGCATCGCAAAGTTTATATCTCTTATATGCAACATCAGCATGATGAAGCAGCATATGATGGAAATAGGTTGGTTGATTTCTGATTCTCTGTGAAAAAGACATTATTTTGCAACTAACACTCATAATAATCTAAGTTATTCAGTTGCTTAAATAACACAGGAATAAGGATTTTATTTAGGCACTTTCAGTTTTTTATTTTTCAGTAATCTGATTAGTTAACTGCTTTTTGGTTCCCTTATTCAGACACCTTCTTCTTCTTCTTCTTTGGTAGGATACAATGCTGATAAGTTACCTCTTGGTAAGCTTAGCAAATCAACAATTTCAAAGGTAAGCTTTTACCTCTTGGTATTTGAGTTGATTTCTGGATATGATAAGGAGAAATGTTGAACAACTCGAAAGGATACTTTGTGTTGTCTAAGTTAACTGGAAACAATTTGGAATTGTTGACCCAAACAAAAAGAAACAATTTGGAACTCTAGTGCTACTGTGTGTATTTGGCTGCAAAACATTTAAGGTCCACATAAAGTTTCTTCTCCTTTAATCTGCTTCTCCATGAAAGATGCAACAAACCAATAACTTGTTATTTTTTTAAACATATATAGGGATATAATATCCTGAAGAGGATTGCTGATGTGATTGGCGGGTCTAATAGGAGAACAATTGAACAATTAAGTGGGTAAGGGTTCTCTCTCCCCCCCTTCCCCCTGTTAGAAGTGATTTTATTAGTTAAATTCTGAATATATATTTTCACCAAAATGCTTGACTAAGTTCATTCATAATTCCAACAACATGCTAGATCCACTGCAGATCTGACCTATTTTTCTTTTTTGTACCTTTAGCTTTTAAGATCTAATGATAGCTTTCTAGAATTTTGGAATTCCAATTTTTGATAGATTTCCTCTTTCAGAGAATTCTACACTGTCATTCCTCATGACTTTGGATTTAAAAAAATGAGTGAGTTCTCTCTCTCTCTCTCTCTCTCTCTCTCTCTCTCTCTCTCTCTGTATATATATATATATATGGACTTATATGTTAATATATTTCTATCTATCTCTCTGATTGAAGCATGCCTTGAGCATACGGCATACCCAGTATACGGGTCAGTATTCATTTTGTTTTACTTATACTAAAAGAAATCTAATTGCTATGGACATATATATGAGTAATGCAGGTAACTTTGTGATTGATACTCCTCAGAAACTGAAACAGAAGTTGGAAATGGTAATTCTTTTTGTTTTTCTTTCTTTTATATGTGGGTATAGTTCTTCTAAGAACTTCCACTAGTTGATATATAAGGTTATTTCCCTTTCGACATA